TCTGCATTCAGCCAAGGTTTTCTGTTTGGGTAGCTTTTAACATTTCTGATAGTGGAGACTGTGTCAGTACATGTACTAATGTAACCCAGTACTGAGGATGTGTATTGGTCAAGATCAAGCGAACCTCCATTTTCAGCAGCTTCTCTGAAAACCTGCCAGTCTGTTCAGTCAAAACAATCTCTCAGTATGGGGCCACTGTCCTGGATCCAGCATTTAACTTTCTTTTGTACCGGTCTGGAGCGTCTCAGCGGGGGCATGTAAGCAGGAGCCAGGAAGATTGAGATGTGGTCTGACAGTCCTAGGTGGGGGCGGGGTTCGGCTTTGTATGCATCTTTTACGTTCGTGTAAACACGGTCCAGCGTGCGGTCTCCACGTGTTGGAATCGTCACGTGCTGATTAAAGCTTGGGAGACAGTCCTTTAGATTCACGTGGTTAAAGTCTCCGGCTACCACGTAAAGAGCCTCGGGGTATTTGCTCTGCAGCGAGCTGATGATATCATGAAGCTCCTGCAGTGATTCATTAGCATTAGCGTCCGGAGGAATGTAAACAACTGTGATAAAAGTCACTGTGAACTCTCGGGGTAGATAATGTGGCCGACATTTCACTGTTATTTGCTCCAAAGCCTTCGAGCATGAGCTATTTACAACAGTACAGTTCGTGGACCAACTATATAAATATGATATATATATATATATATATATATATACACAATTCATTTCAAAAACACTTTATTCACGAGCATCCAGTAGAGTTTTACGGCCTTGACCCTTACGCACAGCGATTGTTCCATATTCTCTAAATCTTTTGATGATGTTATGCACAGTTGATGATGATAACTTAAAAGTCTTTGCTATTTTACGCTGGGTAACACCATTCTGGTATTGCTGCACTATCTTTCTGCGCAACAATGGTGGAATTGGTGATCCTCTTACCATCTTGGCTTCTGAGAGACACTGACACTCTGAGAAGCTCTTTTTATACCCAATCATGTTGTCAATTGACCTAATTAGTCTTAATTGGTCTTCCAGCTGTTCGTTAGCCACTTATTGCTACTTGTCCCAACTTTTTTGGGATTTGTTGACTCTGAAATTTTGAATCAACATATTTTTCCTTTAAAATGTTACATTTACTCAGATTAAACTTGTGATCTGTCATCTATGTTATATTACGGATAAAATATTGATATTTGCCATTTCCACATCATTGCATTCAGTTTTTATTCACAATTTGT